CACGAAATTCGACTTGAACTGCTATAAATCAATATCTACCAAAAAAATATTTAATTCTTTTAAATATTCTCAAATGTTTGCCAATTCTTATGAATCCGAACGAATTTTGAATATTCTTATCTTATAGAATGTTTTGAATATTCGATCAATTCAAAATTCAAAATGTTCTGCTTTGCCCCTAGAAGTGGCATGACAATATAAACAAATATAAGAAACAACAGTAGAATTGTTTCCTCTCAACAACGTAGATGTCATTAATGATTGTCAGCTTACGAGTAGAAACCATTAGGATTTCATTATATCTTCACATCAATAACAAGTGCTATGTATCAGTTGCTTAAGAATATATGAAATAACATGGCAGGTACAAAAATAATGCGAGATGCGTTATCTTTGCTAAATTGCACTTGAGCATATAAAATTTTATTGAGATTCTTTCCTCAATTCAAAAATTGTATCTCTTGTTCGCTTTCGTGCATGGTGCCTCCTTCCTATAATAATATTCGTATTGTCGTCTACATTGCCACTATAAATCAATTTGACCAAATTAATCAACAAATAATTTCATTGTGACTTCAGATTGCCTATATAAATATAACAATGAAGCTCGATTCATTCGTCGATTTGCGTTTTTGAAAGAATCTCGTAAAGTGGCCTCTGAAAAATATTTTATTATTTTTAATTTAATAAACAGTTTATTTGTGAAATGTGAGTCATTGGGTGGATTCATTACGAATAAAATTTATCAAAAATTTAGTTAATTGGAGTTATTGTCGCCTAAGCATGGCTATTTTTAAAATTGTATAAATAAATTGTCGGCAAAATGTTGAATTTAATGTAGCGCAAAAGAACTATACAAATACTAATTGAAGTATTTGTTGGAATAAATATTCTGTTCAAAATGAAAATTTCAAATGGTAGAACACTCAGTGTCAATCTAACATAAACTTCTATTCGAAGCATGTTTAAAATGTTAACTTCAGCGCATAACGAACGAAGTAAGAAAACAATGGATACCGCCACTTTCCAATTTATATTTTGCACTTCGTAAGTGCTTTCGATGAAATAAAAAATACGAAAACAAGATTAATATGGCACAGATGGGAGTTTCAGAAAAAAACACAGAAATATTTTGCCCGATGTGATGCCAATGCGCGCATTTGCAAATGCATTAATTTGAAATTAAACAATTACGAATGAAACTTCAAATTAAAGGCAAACCGTCCTTTTTAACTTTTAATAATTTGCTCCTAACTGAGAAAGGCCCTCCTTGAAGGAGTTCAACTCGCGCTCCTCCTTAGATATATTGCTCTGAGAAACACTCTCTGTAAAAATGCATATAAAATAAGCGATGACAGTTGCATTCTTTTTTGAAATCACTTATATTTATTCGCCAGTATATTTATTCTCTCTGAAAGAATGATAAAAAGGAATTCAAATGCAAATGCTATCACTTAACAAGATTCGTTAAATTAAATCGAGGAGAAAAAACATTGTTAAATCGTAACAACTTACCGACCAACAACAACACGATATGGGTAATTGCATTGAGACTGCTGAGCTGATTTGATAAAGCGATGGCGCTCGTTTAAATTCAATCAAATACATACGTTTTCTCTCGTTCTCTCTGGTTCTTTTTTTAAAATATTTATAAAATATAATTATAGTAAACTGAACACGACTCGATGTGCATGCAATTTGTTGATTTAATGTATGGTTGATATTGCAACGGTTTGTCTGCTTCCACATTGAATTCCATTCCACTGTTCCATGAGCATTTATTTTATTCTTCTTGCTGTTGGCCTTTTGCATTGTCATTTTTGTTAATTTGTTGTGTTAACAGTATCACTTTTTAGTCTATAATTATCATTTTTTATTTGTTTACTTTTGTTTGTAGTTTTTTCTTCATTTTCTTATGCCATTTAAAAGACGATGTGTGTTGTTTTTATTGTTTCCACATTTCTTCGAATGCGGTAGCAAGCTGTGAACAAACATTATGTTTTCAATGCGCAAATATGCGCTCAACTAATTCCGTATATTGTCATTTCGAGAGTGTGTTCATCATTAACAATTCGATTGCCATCAGTTGAAGTGCGTGTGGTCTTTCATCGGATGCGTGTTATTTTTTTGAACATTTCGGTTATGTATGGTGTGTACATTATGGTCGGTTTCAGCGCGTTCTGTGTCAATAATAAGTTCAATTCCAGCAAGCAGTTCGAAGCGGTTAGATGAAAGGCTGTTGTTGTCTGCAAAACAAATACAAATGGCAAAACAGTGAAAATATTTCGTTATAAGAATCAATTACATGGAAAATTATCTTCTGAAGACATCATTTTCTTGGGGTTGGAACAATGTCATCTGAAATAGAGTTTATACGACATCAGCCTGCAGACACTTTTGATAATTCTTAAAAGGTTCTCTATTCATTTTTGTCTTTCGGCAAAATGGAATATACATGCATCCATTCGCCAATGCCTTGACTTCCATTGTTTGGCATTAAATGAGTCATATAGTTAGTCAATGTCGGTTATTGTTTCCACATTGGATGTCCCTTTCATTGAAATAGTGCAGATATTTTTTTGTGAGTAATCGATAGAATGTTTATCATGTGAGGTCTTTTTGTTGTCCTTCATGTGTGATGCTATTGTTTTTTGTCCGTTCGTTTCTATTAACCAGATTAATGTACAGAACACATCTGTAGTGTTGTTGTGTTGTGAGCAAATATTTTTAGTTGGTAAAAATGTGACGTCAATGTTGGGTGTCAAAACAAAGTTAAAATAAAAATTAATTGACGCGAATGAAGCAGCATGACGTACAGTGTCTGTGATAAAGTAAAGATAGGTCGAACCGTCTTTTGTGCCAATAAATATATATAGATAGACTGAAACGTAGGTGTTCCAATAGATCTTTGCCTTCACCGACACAACACAGAGCAGGTAAATTTTAACTCACTACAAAATACTTTGTTAATTGATTGGGAAGCTGGGCCATTGAGAATTGACCTATGTTGACTTCAATACCTTTCTGTGTTCAAAAAATAGATTTTCCATTCCTCTCCCTAATTGACAGAGTCGTCGAATTATTACATAAGAATTTGTTGTGCACCCAGCAAAAGAGATTCATTTTCAATCAATACCGTTGGATGGAGTTCAGAAAGGAACATATCTTGAATTACTTTGCCATCTATGGAGCAATAATTAAAGGGATCATCGACAAAAAGTGGCTCTCTATAATTATATACATCGTTTTAATAGTGCAAAAATGGAAAAATCTTCAATTAGGTAGGTTGTTGTTGTTGTTTTTGTTATGTAATATTAGCTGTTGTTAATAAAATAAGAGAATATCAATGTATCTGCAACGTGTTTTCAATTTTCCTGTCGACAAAATGCAATCTCGAAATAATCAAGAGTGGCAAGTGATATTACGTAAAACAATCAATTACGTTGGAGGCATTTATGCTACAAATAACTTCTAACATTTTCCCTTCAGCGTAAAATGGAGATGAAAGTAATTTTTCTAACGGTGTCAATTATCAACACAAACTTCTACTGATTTAATGCCATTTGGTGCTCATCTCTGCACCTCTTATTCAATCTTAACGTTCATCACTCACCCTTGCTCTTCGCCAGCTGCGCTGTTTTTGTTATTTTGCGGATATCTTCTCAAATTTTATGAACTGGGTGTTACAACCTTGAGATGTTTCGAGTGAACGGTTGAGCAAGAGTGCTCATAAAATTACGTACAAACCGAGTGCGTGGTTAGGAGTACATCATGTACGGTATCTTCATCAGTTTCATCAATTGAATCTTGACTGCTTTTTTGCATCAGTATAAGCTTCATTTTTGAAAGGATTTTCAGTTACTTTCAGGATTCAACATTAACCTGAATATTTTATCAACTTCATAATTAATTTTCTTACGTTCGTTCGGCGATGTTACGCTGAAAAAAAAAGGAACATGTTGTGAAGATGGTTCAATGGAAATCTTAATTTTTAATCTATCGTTAAGATTAACAAATTTTTTGTCCCTCTCGAGTTCTTTAAAATTTTACAATCTTGTCATATTCACTTGTTGCTACGTTAACTTTGTTTCTCTATATTTTCTTTTTAAATTGTCAAGTAATTTTTCAGAGTTCGTTGGTATGTTACTTTTCACTTGGGAAATCGGACGATATCACTTCATCAGACGAAATATAATTGCATAATAAATATCGGTGCTTTTTTCTTGAGACATTTTACTGAACAACGAAACTCGAAACAGAATGAATGAAATAGAATAAAATGAAATCGAATGGTCACAGCATGTCCGTTGGATGAACAGAGGAGAAATGAACAAAGGAGAAAAGATGATAGAAGCTTCTGCTCATGTTTGTAATCTAGTACCATAAAATCGTTTATTCGATATTATTCTGTATCAAATAGAGGCATTCCATTGATTTTATCACGACTCCGTCCACTGACATCGCATCCACGAACGTTTTTTTTTTGGAAAACCCAATCGAGTTTTGCTCTATCGACAAATGCGATAGCAAGAAAATAACAATGATTATTTGCTTTACAACGACGTTGAGTATATATTGAAGGAGAAATACACAGACATGTATTATATGAATGGTGAGCGTGAGCACTGCACGCTGTACGAACAGCGAACACCGAATTAAGTAGCGACCTGCGGAACCAATACATCTGAATCCATCCGCATAACCAGTATGTATTGGTTCGCGTTGCGCGTTTACATCGACTTGTTGTCGCGCGCGCGTTCACTTTTGTAACTTTCGTATTCAGTGCAAATGCCGAAAATGTGTATAAAACGATGGAAACGGATACGGTGGAATGAATTTCATGTCGAATATATATACAAACACAGCTATAGCTATAGACGCGTTTAGGGAAAATCACGCAAGCAGCACCCAACATGCGAAACGAAATCGACGAAATACAGAGCACACAAATACAAAAGTTACTATTTTCTAAATTAGACTCAGTTTTGGCTAAACATCCGACGAAGAAGGGAACACTTTCATCGTCGTCGTCGTTCAGCTCTTGGTTTCTCTTATCATCTCTTTATTCACGTATTCACTTACTGCTATTCGTTTCGAGTCTGGTTTTATCTGTACTGTTGAAGCTGGTGCAGCTGTGTGGTGTGTAATTTCTTCGCTTCGAACAGTTTTATTCGTGTGTTGATTTATTCTTCATTTCGTTGTGGTATTTTTTTTTTGCCTTCTCTTAGTTTTCTTCAGTTTCATGTGTTTACATCGCGTTCGTTCGTTCGTTCGTCTTGTTTCACTATTCTTTACATTCGAATGGCAAAACAAAGAGAATAAAATCAAGGGAAAAAAAGTGTTAAGCCACCTTTTGTGTATGCGAACTCTTCGCGGTTGAATATTCTTGGTGCATATTTTTTTATGTATATAATACATACACATACACATACATACGTATTTATATATACATATACAAGGAATTTTTTTTTCGATATATTTCTTTCATTCGGGAATCTGAAGTGCTGCATAAAGTTTTTTTTATCACAAAAGAAATGATTGTACGACGTATTGTTTTGCATATGTGTCGAAGTTGAAATTATCGTTGAGGCCGGTTTTTTTTGTTTAGTTGTGTTTGTTATCGGGATTTGGTCAAAATCTATCATTTACTTCGTATCTTTTGAATCAAATAAAAAAAAATCTTTCTCTTTTTCTTGTAATAATCTGTGTGGTATTTTCTTCAACGTGTATCGGCTTCAGTCCCTACTCATTAAAATGTCGACCATGTTTTCCAAAATTCAAATGAAAAAATGAAATGAAATTAATTAACTTAAACCTGAATTTAATTGGTATTTAAATCGAACAACCAAATAAAATCAAAGGTTTTATTGGAGATCAACTTAATTATAATAATAATTGAGAAAAAAAATTGCCCGTTTTCATTTTAGCTGCACAAGTGAATTTTGTTAGAATACATGGTTATTGGTGGTATTGAGTTGTTGTGATTTTATTTTTCAAAATTTGTGAGCACCAGATGAAAATTGGATTTACAGGACTACGATTTTTTTTCCGCAGGTATAAACTTTGCGTTGTTTTAGGCCAATTGATATTTTATGTGGAATCAGAGAAACAAGTGTCTAAAAAGTTGAAAGTACATTGTGTAACAACTGAACCATCAAAGTAGAAAAAAAAACATCGAAATAGAAAAAAACGAAATCATTTTTCGACGTTTATAAATAGAAAAGGCACATTGAAGTTACGCGTGCGACAAAGAAGTTAAATAAAAGTCACGTTTACAATTTGAGAAAAAAACGAGTATTTATTTTCTATGAACATTGATCACATTCGAGCAGACATAAAATAATAAATGTACGAAAGAATGCGAAGAGTGCAACAAAAGCACAACAATAACAACGTTTAATGTAAATCGTGTATGCATTTTGTGCACCAACAAGAACTGCAAAAACAAAGTGGTGTGTTGTGAAAAAGGACAAATACGGTTCAACAAAACCCAAGAGTGAACGGCACAAGAACATGGCACATGGGTAAGTGATTTGCTTTTTGAACACAAAGAAAATGTGAATAAAAATCGCAAAACGAGTCTATCGATAAAAAAAACAGCATATACGCATGCCATGAGGTGAATTGAAGAGAGGAGGAGGAAGAAAGAGAGATACACATTCACGGCTAGTGAACGATGAACGAAGTGAACGATGAAAAGAACAAGAAATGCATCATACTTGAATGTTTCATCACGATATTCATATACCTGCACGGTATGTTCTATCAACGTGCATCTCAGCCGTAGCATGCTTTGGACGAAGGAAGACTTTTATCATAAAATACATTCAAATCAGTTTTACGTTTCGTCTCGTAAATCTAATTCAACATTACTGTAATGTTCCAATGCAAAAATGATGCATTTTATGCTTTCATAAGAAAAAACTCCCAATATTAAAATTCGTTACAATTTTTCTGCTATTTCCATCGGCACCACAAAATAACGAATGAAAGTGCAAATCGATTCTAGGCAATTGAATTCGCTTTTTCCAGACAAACATTAAGAAATTTGGTTTATATACTCGTATTTATATACTACTCACTATTAAAGCTAAACCGGTTTCAATCGTTAATTTAAATCATATTAGAAGGTAGAGAAGAAAGAACGAAAAAATATTAAAAATTGTGAGTCATTCTCACTTCTTTCGCATGAATTTTGTCGATGATTTTGGCGATTTTGTCCATTTGCTTGCCCATAAAGTTTTATTTTATTGCGATTTACAAATTGAAAACATGCCCAACACATCATTCTATTTCGGGAGACGGCTTTAAGCCTGAAACTTAACCAACATTTTACGATTATCTGTTTTAATTTGAATTGAAAATTTGGATATCGATGTCGATATTATTTGTAACTTTATCAAAGACATTTAAAAACCGTTATATGTATAATCAATGTGATTTTTTTCTTCATTATATTGATGTTGCAGTCTAGAATTGGATAGACGGTTTGCTGTATCAAATTACACATAATCAATATTTAATTTTATTTCCATGTCCAGACGAACGACCGAAAAACGAACCAAAAATTCGTTATTCGATTTATAGGTTTTTTGTTCGAAATCGTTTTAATGTTGTGGTTATTTGTTCGATGAAACGCCTCTATTGACTGTGAACGAAAAATGAAATTGACAAAAATAAATGAAATTTAATAAAAGGCGATAGGCAACCAAACGCCCATAGCATCAAAAATCATAACATTGAAGGGAAAAGTTATTATTATTTTAAGCAGAACAAAAAATGTGAAATACGTGAGCATGACATGCTCTTACTCAATTATGCATCCGAATGGATGTCATCGAACGCACTGTGGCGAGATGCTCTCGTTGAACATGTTGAATAAATATTTATTTTCCAACAAACAAAACAAACGGAGCAGCTGAACCGAGTACAATGCACGCGCACAGAATAAGAACCAATAATCAAAATTCGTTAAAAGAAAAACAAAAAATATAATTCGAAATTTCCTCTCTCGTTGCTCATCTCGCAAGCGATATTTACAAATTAATAAATTGTTAATGTTTTGATTTGAGCACTTTTTTCGTATTTTTCTCTTCACATTTGTCTTCAATGCTTTCAATGTTCAGCGTATGGTTGTAAGCTTGTTTATATTGTCTACATTGTTTTTCTCCATCGCGTATGTATCGTTTAATGGCACACAGCATTATACATTTCATAGCCACGTTTTTCATAATCATGAGCCAAATCAAAATTTATTCTATACTGTGTAAATTCGTTCGATGAATTGCGCTTCGTTACCCGACAAAATCGTTTAAATCATTTCAAGATGGAAACGGAAGATATTGTATGGAAATTCTAAAAGTAAAATAAAATAAAAAAAGACGAAACGCTGTTGAAAAAATAGATTGATAAAAACGTGGGTGGACACCCAAAATGACGATAATTCACGTTATTATATTCCTATAAATTCTCCCCCACCATTGGATCCATTTAAAAATCGCTCAAAATGTGTTATTTATCATGTTTTGTCTATTCATTTTGTATAATTTTGATCTTACGCTCTCGGCGCTTGTTCGAGGCACGGATTTCTTGGCACATGGGGCGTTCAATTCTAAATTTTTATATCGATTTTTAATGTTTACACTCATAACGTCGGCCATCAAAACAAGATGTATAGCCACGATAAATTGGTTTCAATTTAATCATATTCATTTATAAATGTATTACAGTAGATTGAACGGAGCCAACAGCAAGAAGTCATTTTGAATCAATTACATGTTGATGCCGGTGACTAAACTGTTCGTTTGCTTTGAATTTCAAGCACTCCAGTTTGTTTATTGCTGAGATATTTTAAATTTCAGTTTGTATCATTCGAAAGTCGAAAGAATATGCTGGAAACCAATTTGGGATGTGCCCCCAAGCCTTTTTTTATTGATTTCCCATTGCTGTTGTTCACAAAGAGAGTCAAAAATAGAACGATTTTTTCTGTGGAACGCCATTTTTTGGTTTCGGAAAAAAGCCACAGTCTTTGCAATGCATGAATGTGAAGCACCCCAACATTAAATTTCAAATGAACAGCATCGTTCTCGTTATTTCTTTTTTTTATGGAATGCTTTTAGCAAGCGAAAAAAGCCCCAAAAATATTATTGCGAGCTATAACAAAGATAATAATATTTTATTTATTTCTCAACTGATATTGAACTAATATCAAAGTGAACGCAACTTTTTTTTCCGAGCAAACGCAACATTGTTGTTACCGCTTAAAGGCGGACAATGAGCTTCAATTACGTGCAAAAAAGGCGATTTGTTTGGTGTTTAGTTGAGTAAAAAGCGACATAAAAATCAAAATGACAGTCGAGCATCATCATTGGTTTGTGGCCGTAGCTATATACCATGTTGTTTGTCCGTATCGGAATCCATCTAGCATCATCAGCGAAATTCCGCATTATCTTTTGGCGTTATTGAAATGTAAATTTCTGCACACAATACGTCACTAAATAATAATAACAATAACAATAATGGATCCCAAAAACCAAAACGAGAAAATACGGACAAAAAAAGCGACTCATTGAAATATGCATTTTGTCTTCCGAAATTTCGGGTCGGTTGTCTCAATTTTGGCTGTTGTAGTCGAAAAATGATGATGATGATGACAAATACAATACCAGCAACAAATACCGCATACATTCTACCGAAAATAATAGAATCGAAAAGGATAGAATTGGGAAGTCAATGCAATGCAAGTGTGCTCGATAACGGACGACAAAAAAGTAAAAAGGAAAAAAAATGTACAATATTAACAAACAACAACAATCTGACGTAAGAAATTGGCAAAAGATGTTGAATTTCAATGAGAGAGTCGCATTGAAGCGAAAAACAACTTTCCAGGCGAGAAGATCCGAACAGAAGTGGAACAAACGCGCCCTATTACAATAAATATTATATGAATAATTTACCATATTTGTTTTCGTCATTCTGCGGCAGTAGAGCATTCGACAGTTCTTCGGCTCCAGTAGCACAGAACATTTTATAGAGAAAAAAAAATGAAAGCGAGAGCTTGACAAAAAAAAAATCGAAAGGAAAATTATGAATAAAAATACAAATCCGGAAGAGGAGAAGAGAATATCACACTCACATAGGCCGATGGGTGACTCCTATGTGGTTCTCATTTTACTATATTTGTCATGTCTGCTATCGCTTTCCATTGTTTGTTCTCCTCTCTTGTATTGTGGCCTTTCTTTACCGTTCCGACTTTACTAGAGTCAAAAACTGGGACTCTAGGCAAGCATCGATAAGATGTACAGTGTACACCGATAAATAATAAATATGCGCCTCTATGGCAAGTGTTTCTCGCCCTTTATTGAATAACAATAAAAATCTTATTTAAAATGGATTTTATTATGGATACCAATCGATGTGTTTTTTATGGGTTCATTCATTTGCATGCAGATCGAATAAGGTTTCACACGAAAGCGCGCGCATTCTACCAACTGAAATCAAAATATCTGCCATCGAAAATGGATTCAGGTTCGGTATCCAATTTGATTTGGATTACATATTCGGGCTTAAAATGTATTTTTGCATAATTTCTCGTCGTCGATTGAGTTCGTATGTTGAAAACAAAAATCCAGATTTGTATCACTTTACACACAATTCGGCGTATCGTCGCCATCGTCATTCCCAACGTATCAAATAGTCGTAGTTTCGAACGCAGATGTTGTATACGGGATGATAAAAACATTGAAACTTTTGTTTTGCATCATTTTTACGTCTCGGACACTTGCTCATCACATCAGTTGCGCATGAATTCAGAGGGGTGAAAATGATACAAGCAACAGACAAATTTTACCACAGCGATGACATCAATTGCAATATTAAAATGAAATAAAATAAATAATAGAGATAAATACATATGTGTGCGCTTGCTTATTCGTGTTTATTTTTCCTAGGATAGACAATACCATACTATAAATGAGATGCATACAAAAACCACCCTCCGATCAAATTATACCGTCGTCTATAGCAGACGAAAGACGAACAGAATGAGCATGATATGAAGGTTTGAGAAAGTGAATCTTCTTGGAGTTACCAAGTGCTCAAATTTTGTTCACAAATATCAAAACCATATTTTTTCACCCGATGTTCTGTTGGTGATGGTAAATTTTGTACAATTTATCAAAATTGCCACATTCGTATAATTATTTTTAACAATTTGCAACTCAACTCACCAACATCTCTGTTCTGGCCGCACTGAACCGTTAAACTGTACACACGATTCGTTCCGAGTGCCAGAAAGTCGATACAGATTTTACTATGGCTTAACCGAAGGGCGGATCATCAATTGAATGTGTTTGCTTAACAAAAACAGACAACCGATGAACGCATGCATGCTCAAAATTGTATTTATTGCTTTTTATTTCATTTCGTTTTCTCCTCTTTTTGCCTCGTAATTTAATAAACAAAACAAGGCAAAGTGAGTACTAGACCACTTTTGTCCTATCCCCAGGAACGTGTGCTACAATTG